AACCCTAAGAGACGTGCACCAGGTGAGGAAAGTGAGAGAAAGCAAGGTCAATTAACTAGGTCAGCATCCCATATGTGGCTGGTGGAGCCAGGGTTAATCCTAGGCAAGTTGGCTCCAGATTTTGTTTTCTTGAAGGTGACACTTGCTGCCTTTGACCACCACACTGTGATGTAGCCCCTAAATGGCCTACTCAGGTCCCCTCTAGTCTATCTCCAGAAAGGAGCCAGAGATCTTCCCAAAACATAAATCTAAATCATGTCACTCCCTCCAGTGACTTTTCCTGTTTCTAAGATAAAGACACAACTTCCTTCTGCCATGGCTTACAATGTCTTACACTGTATTCCTGCCTGCCCTCTCCCATTTCATCCCATCCTACACTTCCTCTTGTTCTCTGCACTTGCCACACTGACCTCCCACTTCCCAAGGCCTTTCCCAACAAGACTTTTGCCTGTGCTGGTCCTTTGGCCAGGTACACACTTCTCTTTTCTCTTCACCTTGTCAAGACCTAGTCACCCCTCCGATCTCAACTCAAGCATGACCTCCTCAGGAGGTTAAACTATCAATCTGAAAATTCTTTTCTAGTGCTATAAATTTCCCTCTGAGCAATGCTTTAGCTAACATCCCACAAATTCTATGTTGCATTTTTTCATTTTTTGTCCCGTTCAAAATATTTTCTAATTTCCCTTGAAATTTCCTTTTACCCCATTGATTATTTACAAATCTGTTGTTTAACTTCCAAGTATTTAAGGATTTTTCTAGTTATCTTTCTGTTACTGATTCCTAATTCAATTCTATGTGATCAAAAATGATACACTGTATGATTTCAATTCTTTTAAATCTGTTCAGGATCATCTATCTTGGTGAATGTTCCATGTGCACTGAAAACAATATGTATTTTACTATTTTTGGGTGCAGTATTGTACAAATGTCAATTAGATTCAGTTTGCTGACGGAGTTACTCAGTTCTTTTATATCCTCACTAATTTTCTGTCTACTTGTTTTACTGAGAGGGAATAATTATAATTGTGGCTTTGCTCATTTCTCCTTTCAGTTCTATCAATTTTCTCTTTGCGTATTTTGATGTTAGGTGTGTACACATTTAGGATTGTTACGTCTTCTTGGTGAATTGTCCTTTTTATCATTATGCAATATCCCTCTTTATCCCTTTATCCCTAATTTCCTTGTTCTGAAGTCTACTTTATCTGATATTAATATGTTTTGAATGGTACATCTTTTTCCATCCCTCTATTTTTAACCTGCCTATACTATTATATTTAAAGTGGTTTCTTGTCCACAGCATATAGTTGGATCTCTCTCACTGTGATTTTAATTTCCATTTCCCTGATAGCTTATTATATATTGAGTACCTTTTATATGCCCATTGGTTTTTCATATTTTTTCGGTTTTTAAGTGCCTGTTCAAGTCTTTTGCCCATTAAAAAAAATGGAGTTATCTTTTTATTTCTTGGACATCCTTCACTTGTTCCTGATCTTAGGGGAAAAGTGTTCAATATTTCACCACTAAGTATGATGATACTAGCTTTAGTTTTCTCTTGTTCTCCTTTAGCAATTTGAAGTTCCCTTCTGTTCTTAGTTTGGTAAGAATTTTTTTAAAATCATGAATGGGTACTGAAATTTGTCAAATGCTTTTTTCTACATCTATGAGACAATCACAGTTTTTCTTCTTTGGTTCTGTTAATATGGGACATTACAAGGACGTATTTTCAAATATTAAATGTCAGTTACACAGGGGTATACATTTGAACTCCCAGAATAAACCCCAATTAGTCATGACATATTGTCCTTTTTATATATTGCTTGACTCAATTTGCTGATATTCTGCTTACAGTTTTAGTCAGGTATTCACAGGGATACTGGTCTTGGACTTTTGCTTTCCTGTAATGTCTCGTCACATTTTGCCATCATATTTTTCCTGGCCTCATGAAATCAGCTGGGGAGCAGTTCTTCTCTATCTAAGTTTTGGAAGAGTTTGTATACTATTGGTATTATTTCTTCCTTAAATGTTTGGCGGAATTCACCAGTGAAGCCATCTGGGCCTGGAGTTTTCTTTGTTGCAAAGTTTTCAATTACAGTTTCAATTTATTCAGCAGAGGTTATTCAAATTTTCTATGTCTTCTTGTGTTAGTTTCAGTAAATTATAGTCTTCAAGGAATTTATATCTTTATCTAGGACGTCAAACTTATTGACATAAAGTTGTTGATAATATCTCCTTACTGCCCCTTTAACGTCTGTGGGATCTGTGGTGAGGGCTCCGTTTTCATGTCAGATATTGATCATTTGTTTTCTTGCTTTCTCTCTTTTTAAAATTTATTGATCAGTCTTACTAGGCATCTCTCAATTTTATTAATGTTTTCAAAGAATAAACTTTTGCCTTTTTAAATTTTCTCTCTTGTATTCTATTTCATTAATTTCTACTCTTATGTTTATTACTTCCTCCATTTTACTTTTTTTGGGCTTAACTCACTCTTGTCTAGCCTCTTGACTTGGAGCTTGGATCACTGATTTCAAGATTTTCTTTTTGACTAGTATATGCAATTAAAGCTATAAATTTCCATCTAAGCACTATTTAAGCTGCATCTCACAAACAAATCAATGAATTTCTTTTGGGGGGCAGTGAAGAAGACTGACCCTGAGCTAACATCCACTGCCAATCTTCCTTTTTTTGCTTGAAGAAGATTGTCCCTGAGCTAACATCTGTGCCAGTCTTCCTTTATTTTTTCTACGTGGGACACCACCACAGCATGGCTTGATGAGTGGTGTGTAGGTCTAGACCCAGGATCCAAACCCACGAACCCCAGGCCCCTGAAGTAGAGCGTATGAACTCAATCACTATGTCACCAGGCCAGCCCCTCAATGAATTTTTAAGAGTCATTCAAATTCTTTGCTTAGTACTGGGTAAAAAATATTCTCTTAGGAACCAGCCCGATAGCATAGTGGTTAAGTTCGGGCACTCCACTTTGGCAGCGCAGGGTTCACGGGTTCAGATCCTGGGCACACACCTATGTACCGCTCATCAAGCCATGCTGTGGCAGTGTCCCACATCCAAAAAAATAGAGGAAGACTGGCACAGATGTTAGCTCAGCTACAATCTTCATCAAGCAAAAAGAGGAACATTGGCAGCAGATGTTAGCTCAGAGCCAATCTTCTTCACCAAAAAAAAGAATTGCTCGGGGCTGGCCCCGTGGCTGAGTGGTTAAGTTCGCGCGCTCTGCTGCAGGCGGCCCAGTGTTTCGTTAGTTCAAATCCTGGGCACGGACATGGCACTGCTCATCAGACCACGCTGAGGCAGCGTCCCACATGCCACAACTAGAAGAACCCACAACGAAGAATACACAACTATGTACCGGGGGGCTTTGGGGAGAAAAAGGAAAAAATAAAATCTTTAAAAAAAAAAAAAAAAAAAAAAAAAAGAATTGCTCTTAGGAATCAGGGAGGAGTAGAACGAAAAAGAACACAACGAAACTTTGTAAGGTGATGGTAATGCTCCATATCTTGATTGGGATGTTGGTTATATATAGGTGTGTACATTTGTCAAAAATGCAATACTCTGTACACTTAAGATCTGAACTGTATACTATACTAGACGACGGGCATCAGAACCTTTTGGTAGGTGAACAATATAAGGCTCAGAGGAGTTAATTGTGATGCACCAACATCACACACTCAGCAAGCGCAAAGAGCCAGGAGTTAAGTCTACGTCATCAGACGGCATGCTGTTTGCACTCTACCACGTTATTTTACATTATACATATCACACATACATACATATACTTATACACACACACACTCACAAACACACACAAAGACCTCATGCCGTACATGTTTAATGTGTGGCATTAACAAAATGTTTTCCATCCTGTGTGACTTGATTTAACTCCTCAGTG